GATGATCATCTCTAGATACTCAGAAAGCATTTGTCAAAATTCAAAAGCCATACTTGATTTTGAAAAATTCAATAAATTAGGAATAAGAATACTTCCTTCACATAGTATAATGTATCCATTTAAGCCCCAAACCACTATCATAATTAATAGAAAAACTATAACCATCAAAGTCAAGGATGTCCATTATCACCCCTATTACTTTTACTAGAGGTACTAGCCAATTCATCTAGATAGGAAACCAAAATTAAAAGAATAAAAATTAGATAAGGCAAGGTAAACATCACTATTTGCAAATGATACGAATGTATACCTGGAAAACCCGAGTGATTAAGTGGAAAAAATAAGATATTCAGGAAAGTAATGGAATATAAAATTAATATATAGAAGTCAACAGTTAGAAGGTTTGTAGATATAATGAACAAAAAAGTTCAATTACCAATAGACATTGGAAAGATAAACTACCTACCAATAAACTTAAGAAATATGAAAGATCTAAATGAAGAAAACTTTAAAATTCCTCCTAAAAGATACAAAAGAAGAACAGAACAAAAAGAAAGACCTATCACCGTCTTGGATATGAAGACTAAGCATCAAATAGAGGCCAATTTTCTCTAATTCACATATTATCTATATGACGCCAATTTTCTCTAAGTGAATTACTAAATCCGTGCAATCCCAATAAAAATAGCAAGAGGTATTTTTGAGGTTGTTGGGGGAAGAGGAGGGTGATTAGATAAGTTGATTCCACCGTTCATAAATAGACATAGTTAGAAAAACTTAGAAAAGAGAAATATGGAGAAACTAGCCCTAACAGATATTAAAACATCATTAGGCAACAATAAGAGTATGGTCTTGCTGGATGAATAGTCAGAACATTTGAACAGAATAGAAAGTCCTGAAATAGGCCTATTTACATGTGGGAACTCAGCATATGACAAAAGTATTTCACATCAGTTGGAGAAAAGATAGATTATTCAATAAACAGAGTTGGGGTATTGAGTAGCCATCTGGGAAACAAAGTTGGAGCCACATCTTAGGAATAATTCCAAATGGATCAAATATTTATTAAATGCAAAAAAAACCCATGTAAGTACTAGAAGAAAACAAGAGAATTCCCTTATAACTGTAGAATAAAAAAAGGCCTTTCTAACTATGACACAAAATCCAGAATCCATAAAAGATTAACTACATCATTTTTATTGGTTCTGTGTGGCAAAAATACCATAAGCAAAATCAACAGAAAAATGGTGACATCTGTAACTCATATTGATAAGGGTGACTCTCCCTAAAATATAAAGATCTCCTAGAAATCAGTAAAAAGACCAAGAACCAATAGTAAAACTGCATAAAAGACATAGAAGGAAGTACACAGAAAAGGATATACGACTGGCTCTTAAGCATGTGAAGAGAGATGCAACTTCTCTAATGAAAAATACAAGGTAAAGCTGTAGCCTGACAACCCAAATTGAGACATACTACCAAGTAAACTGGCTTGTGCGATTCAGAAACATCAAGGTAATGAAAGCCAAAGAACACTGAGGAACTAATGCAGATTAAAGGAGACTAAAGAGACACATAATTAAATGTGCCAAGTGATACTGATTTGGATCCTGGACCTAAACTAACTTACTTATTTTGCTATGATGGACATTATTAGGACAACCGAGGAAATTCGAATAAAGCTTAATAATTAAACTATTTTTATTGTAAAACTGAAATTAAATAATTAATGAAAATAATCAACTATCAATAATAATTGTATGAATATTAATATCTAGATTGGGGGAATTATACCGAAGTTATATAAGAGAATTTCTTTGCTTTTAAGAAATACTAAACTATTAGGGATAAAGGAGCATTATGTAGGTAACTTACAAACAGTTCAGAAATAATAGGTATATAGAGAGAATGATTAAGCAAATACAGTAAAAATGTTAACATTTGGGGAATCTGAATGGCAGGTATACAGGAACTCTTCATATTATTTTTGGAATTTTTCTGTAAGTCAAATTATTTCATACTAAAAAGCTTAAAACATCATAAAAAAACATATTATGATGACATTTTTCACTTATCATGCTGGCAAAAATCCTAAAGTTTGATAAAATAGTCTCTGCAAGGTTGTGGAGCAACATGCTCTCTTATACCTCCAGTCACAGAACAAACTCATATAGCCCCATGAAGGACAATTTGGTAATATCTATATGAATCACAAATGCATATACTCCTTCATCCAGAAATTCTCTCTCTAGGAATTTGTTCTAGACTTATAATTATGTGTATGGGAAAGGACCTATGTACAAGGTTATTCACTGGAGCATTGATAACAGCAAAAAGACTCAAATCACCACTCCCCGACATCCAGGGCTCCCCCCAAAAGAATGCCCATCAACAGGAGACTAGTTTTAACAGACACCAGAAAAGTCAAGCTTTTCATAAAATGAGTGAATATATTACAACGAATAGTTCACTATACTCTCCATGTAGTATGGAGAACATGTAGGCCAGTCTCTCTCGCCCCCAGTTCTCTTGTCTCTCCTTGAATGTCCCATTCTTATTTCACAGTCAGGTGTTCAGAGAGCCTTTCAATGCCATCTGAAAAGAAAGATCCCAAAGGGCTGCATCTCCTGGTGTAACGTTTTCTTTGCACAAATTCAAGACAGCAGAGGATCATTTTCCTCATCTTTAAAACAGGGATAGTGATAGCATCTTTCTAATAGGGTTGCTGTGAGGACTAAATATGACAGGTTGCTTAAAGCATTCAGCCGAGCGTCTGGACCATTAGCACCATTCAATACACGGTAGCTCTTCTCACTATCCTCATCATCTCATAAGACAAGAAAAATGGCCAGCAAAATAGAAAGATAATCTATCTCACTAGTTCAAGGAAATACAAGAAAAATGGCCAACAAAATATGAAGATATTCTATCTCACTAGTATTCAAGGAAATACAAATGTATCAAAGTTTAGATGATGAAAAAAAATTTCACCCCAACAGGTAAATAAATCTAGCATAAAGTCTAGCATAAAGGTGCTAACATAAATGTGCCAGACACTCTTCCTGCCAACAAATCACTAGCACCAGTAAAAGGTACCGCTATAAATGTTAAAAAGCCCCTCTTACTATCCATTTCAAAAGATAGCCATCAATTCCTAGATAATGGAGGAGGAAGTCCAAAATCAGGACAGCCAATAGCCTGGAAATTCTGGTGACTGTGTGATTAAGGACAAGTATCTGAGGACTGGATGCAGCCCGACAAGTCTGTGAACTCAGAAGCACTTTGCTACAAGATGTGCCACTTGGATGTTGAGACCCAAGCCAGCGAGGCGGCGGCCCTCCGCCCAGATCCCACCCCGTGGGATGAGTCTCAGTTGCAGATAGCAGGCATCGGTCTACACACCAACCACGGCTGCTCTCATCTCTGTGCCCGAGGAACAGCTTGGAATCCCATATCTCAGCGAGAATCCAATTAGCCTCTACTAGACTTATAATAGCCTGACCAAATAATAGCAATATTGGTCAAGACAGCCAAAAATGAAATTTCAAGAAAGAAAATAAAGGACAGAAAGAAAAAAGAGAGCAAGAAAAAAAGAAAGAAACCACAGACACAAAAATTTGATTATTTCAGCACTTCAATATAATTTCTTTGTTCTTTGTCATTTTAGCAATTACACTGTAAACTTACTGCATTAATTTCTATCAACTTCCTAGTAGTCTGTTACTAGAATATACAGAATATACTGTCTAAAGGAAAACAGAGTGGTGCTACAATATAATGCCTCATTAGATAGTTGACTAAATTAGTAAATTTTCACAGTAAAAATAAAATCTCTTTTAAAATTCTATCAAATAAAACTCAAATGAGGGCCAGCCCCATGGCTTAGTGGTTAAGTGCGCACGCTCCGCTACTGGCGGCCAGGGTTCGGATCCTGGGCGCGCACCGACACACCACTTCTCCGGCCATACTGAGGCTGCTTCCCACAGACAGCAACTAGAAGGATGTGCAACTATGACATACAACTATCTACTGGGGCTTTGGGGGGAAAAAAAGAAAAGGAGGAAGATTGGCAATAGATGTTAGCTCAGAGCCGGTCTTCCTCAGCAAAAAGAGGAGGATTAGCATGGATGTTAGCTCAGGGCTGATCTTCCTCACAAAAATAATAATAATAATAATAAATAAATAAAATAAAAAAACTGTTTAAAAAAAAAAACACAAAAACTCAAATGAAATTGAGAAGTCTTAGGGCTGCAGTGCAATTGGGAAACATCATGTTATCCAAGTTTTCCTACGTGTTCGACACAGCGGCAGATACAAAGAGAAAGAAATCAATGCGTCAGGACCCTCTTTGGGCAGTTCTCTCCTGGCCTCTATGAATATGGTCACACAGACTGACCTGTCAAGGAGATAGGAGGGGACAAAAAAGATTCTCCCCATTTCAGCATGTGATTTCCATTTGCTTTGGTCAAAGAGCTTTGTCCAAGGCATTTTCATGGTCTACATAAACTACCTACTGGTTTCTCTCATTCTCTTATTTACTGAACTCACAGTATGTACCACGCACGATGCTAATAACTCTACATATATTATTTCATTTAATCCTCACAACAACTTTAAGACAAATGTTGATATTTTCATACCCACTTAGAAACGAGGCAACTGATGCCCAGAGAGCTTAAGTAATTCCCTTAGGGTCTGAGTCACATTAGCATCCAGACCTAACTCCAGACCTCAAACTCTTAATTACTTCGCTCTGAGGCTTTTTAGAGTATCTACATAAGCACCTCTATATGGGTCTCACCTTAATTGCCAATAAAACAATTAAAAATTAGTACCTTCTATTCCTCATCACTCCTTCTATTTCTATTGTAAAGAGAACACACCCACACAGACACACACCGGAGGGGAGAGACGAAACCCCAGATGAAGGACATCCGTGTCCCCGTACAGGATCTGAGGCAGTGGCGGCGGGTGAGTGGGTGGGGCTGATGAAGGGGTACCTTTTCTGCGATGCCGTTTTCCGTCGTATAGATTGCCATGAGCTCTGTGTCTTCGTTGTCCTGTTCACCACTCGACGTGGCACCTCCATTTATCACCACCTGAAGAGAAACACTCCACTTAGAGGCTGTTTCACTGTACACCACTCTGCTGCATGGAAATATTTTCCCCAAAAGTCTTTTATAATTCTCGTAAGAGACAAAACCTCTGCATTTTTCACCTATCAAATCAGCCAAGTTTTGAGTTTTCTTAAATGAAACTCCTGACAAGTGCATGTTGCAACAGTGACTACGTGTGTTTTTGATCAAGAAACACACCACGTGTCCCACAGAGTGAGGCTGCATGAATGGGGGGTCAGCTGAGGGAGACCAGAAATGGAACATCCAAAGAAACCACAAGGAGCAGGGCCCCCAGGGGTTTCCAGGGGCAAGGGAGGCTTAGCTGAGGGGCCACAGCTGCTGTTTCTGAGCAGGTCAGACGCATCCTGAGCTGTCTTGACTAAGATCCTTTCCCAAGTAACCGCCTAATGACGACTTGTAATGTGGCACCCCCAAGAGGAGGAAATGTGCTAGTTAGGGCAACTTGCCCACTGCTCTTCACCTAACTTACTAACTTATACTTCTCACTGTGATTAAGTCAACTAGCCCACTGGGTTTGCATGTGCTTGTGGCAGTGGGCTATGCCAACCAAATCTAGTTTCTGGGACCTCAGGGTAAGGACCAGAACTCATCCTGAGGTGACTCAAAGAAAACATCTGGGCACCTGGTGGGTCACAACCCCTTTCATGCCTGCCCTCGGTGGGTCCCCCAACCTATCATCTGAGGTCCTGGCTGCCTATAGCAGGAACCTTAAAATATTTTTAGTCTTTGGCCAAATGGTTCTATTTCTAGGAATCTATCTTGAAAAAAATAATACTTTGTATGTATGAATAACAGCACAACTACATTTCTTAAATACAGAGGATAAAAAGACAAAGTGCACAAAAAGTTTAAATTCTGGTATTGTAAAATACACTAAAGAGAAGTAAAAGATGAGTGACGGCCTAAGAGAAAATACAGTTAACACGTAACAAAGGGTCCATATCAGTGATTCATAGAGAACACCTGCAAATCCATATTACAAAGAATCCAAAGGAAATGGGCAAGGATAGGAGTATACAATTCACAGAAAAAAAATTAAAATATCCAATAAAGCACATGAAAAGCTGTTCAACCTCATTTAAAATTATAGAAATGACAATTAAAATAAAATTTCATTTTTTAACATAAATTAGGAGGAAATTTTAGAAGACGAATCTGGTGTTGACCAGGGTGTGAATAAGAGCTACTCTAAGTTATTAGAGAGATTATGTTCTTGGTGGAATGGCCTTCGTGGAGGGCAATTTAGCACTTGGATCTAAGAGAGGCATTTTCTCAGAGCCAGCAGTTAACACTCACAGAAACTTACAGAAACTTATCCCCCAGAAATACCCATGCAAGTGGTATGTACATTCAAGGTTGATGACTGCAGCATTATTTAAAATGCTGAATACTTGGAAACAACCTAAATGTTCACCAAAAAGACAGACGTTATTAAATTATGGTATATGCATTTCAAGAGTAATATTCAAAGAATATTTTACCATTAAAAAGAATAAAACTGATGTACCGATAAGGAAAGAACTCCAAGAAACACTATTAAAAAAAGTCACAAAACATTAAGCCTAGAATTATCCCAATTATGCTAAAAAAAATTAAATTTTAATAACCTCCCTACCTGTCTAAATGCTTGGTAAAGAATCCAGAAAAGTCACAAACCAATATGAAGGCGGCCCTAGGGGCAAGGATTAATGATGGGCACCTCTCATTCTTCATTCCCAACCCTTCTTTAGCATTTGGATCTTTTACAATCAGTATGTATTTGTGTGTTATCTATATATTGCTTTTTAAAACTGATAATAAAAAAATGTACACCAAAACAGTATCAGTGGTTGTGTTTAATCAGTGGAGCCATTTTTACCTTCTTTTTCCCTTTACATATTTTGGTAATTTTCTAAAATGAGGACAATTTATTTTTACAACAGGGAAGAAATTAAAAAGACTAAAGATCCAAGCAGCACAGCCTGGATTGAGGAGGTCCCGAGAGATTTCAATCCACTTATTTTTGCAGTTGAAGAAATCAGGCCAGAGAAAAATTTATCTTACAAAGTCATATAGATTATAAGCCAAGTCTGAGGCTAGTTTTCCAGTATGCTAAAGATCTCAATTAACTAGTACATAATTCTCACAGGGCAAAATTTTCTTATATCACTTCAAATAAAGAGTTAAAACTTTTAAAACTCTCCCTAAGTCACGCTACAGCTTTCTACAAAGGCCAACTGCATCTGTGACGTCTGCCTGTAAAACTAGCTGCCAGCAAGATACAGGTTCCCAGCCAAGTTCAAGTTCACAACACGAAACTAACTTACTATCGGAACCATGCTCCAAGTCATATCACAGCAGCAAGCAACCCACTGAGAAGCCAAGAGGTACACACACTCAGGATGAACTCTCTTAAAACAACTTAGTTCCTAATCATCAGAGAAACCCAGGTCTGATTTAAAGTCCTCTTCTAGCTAAAACTAACCTTCACCTGTATTCATCACTGGCTGCTGCAAGGAGCAGCTGCTTCAAGGGTATGGAGTTTCCTTTGGAGTGACGAAAATACTTTGGAACTAGACAGAGGTGATGGTTGCATGGCATTGTGAATATGTTAAATGTCACTAAATTGTTCACTTTTACATTGTTAATTTGCTATGTGAATTTCACCTCAACAATTTTCTTTTTATCTATATAAGTGACACAAAGAGGAGATTTTGGTAGGAGTTGGCAACTCTCATTCCTCCCGACTTGCTGCACTGATATACACACACACACACACACACACACACACACAATTAAATAAGTACTATAAAATGCAGATGCTCCCCAGCCTAGGAAAAGGCTCACATATTCATTCAACAAACCCTGTTTGAGCATCTGCTGTGCCCAGGCAATGAAAATGCAGTCCTGCCACTCCCAGGAGCTCCACCCGGAGTGGGTGCCAGGTTAAGGAATTCTGACTGAACAAAGGACGCAGCAGGGAGCCATGAAGCAGTGCCAAGTACAGGCCCACCACAACCAGATGCGGGCTTTGTGTGACCACGCTGCCCGGAGCGGGACAGTGGAAGGGGGGGCGAAGTAAAGGGAATGACGATAGGAACAGAGGCAGGCAGACTCTTTAAGAGGCTACTACTGGGCAAGAAGGAACAGTGGCCCAGGCCAAGGTATTAACACTGCTCTGGGGAAGGTAGTCTTCAAGAGAGAGCAAGGATGTGGCCTTAATGCCCCCTGGGGACTGCCCAGATAGCAGCTGCAGCACCACAGCTTCATGCAGTACATGTGGGGAAGACACCACTGCAACCAACACCCCAGCCCTGGACCAAATGTTGGGGGCAGAGTGGTGAGGTGCCCAGGCTGCTGTCCACTCACTCACCTGGGCGGCTGGGTGGATGGAGGCGCCAGTCCCAAAGAGACTGGTGTAGGGAGGGGCGGAGGGCCAAAGTGGTACAATAGAAGTTTGTAAGCCAATTCAAAATGTGTCTGATTCAGAGAAATCATCCCATAAAGGAAGCTTACCCTCCCAGGCCAGTGTAGGAAGTTTATTTAATGGTAAATATTATTGACCTATGATTTCTAACATATTTCCACAGGTCAAGCCATCCCTGAGGACCTCGGAGCCTACCTTCCATCCGTTAGCCTCATGGTCCAGAGCTGAGCCGCTGCCTCTCCCTCATGCCACCCTCATTCCTGAAGTGTGGGAAAAACGCGCCCCTTCTCCCCAGACCCCTGCTCCACACTCCACCAGAGCTCCAGACGGGAATGGGAACAAGCCTGGAAAGTGGGAAGTTCTGGGACAAGTGGGAGATGAAACAGGTTTTTACCGAAGGGAGAGAGGGATTCAGCACCAGAGGGAGGCCAAGACCATAGGAGGTGGGGAAGCCCCCCAGGGCCACTAGTGTGACCTGCTGTCTCTCCTGTGTGAATGTGCAGGGAACAATGAAACATTACTGAAAGAGTAAAACACTAATTTGTTTTACTAACATTTCTCCTTTGGTTAAGCTATTCTAATGGTCCATTTTTTAAAAAGACGTGAAATTTAACTTTTTTTTTTGTGAGGAAGATCAGCCCTGTGCTAACATCTGCCAATTCTTCTCCTTTCTTTTTTTGCTGAGGAAGACTGGCCCTGGGCTAACACCCTTGCCCATCTTCCCCCACTTCACATGGGACGCCGACACAGCATGGCTTGCCAAGCGGTGCATCGGTGCATGCCCAGGATCCGAACCAGCGAACCCCGGGCCGCCGCAGCAGAGCGCGCACACTTAACCACTTGCACCACCGGGCCAACCCCGTGAAATTTAATTTTAAAAATCAAATATTAAGATCAGTTCTTTAGGAATGGTATTGAACTTTTAAGAGAAAAGGATAAAAAAATGTTGCTGATACTATCAAAGCTCCACACTTTTGAATCTCTAAATATTATTTCAACTGGGAAATAAAACATGCCTTGGAAAGCTTTCTAAAGTTAATAAAAATGGATATTCTTTTGAGTTATTAATAGAACGCAGATAACAGAGGGGAATCTTGGCATCTCTCATCTCAGGAAATTGATCAAATTTTTATAAAAAATATCAGATTATTTAAAAACCTTTTGGGAACAAGATGTCCTTTCTCCCCCCAAAACTATTTGAAACCAAACTTGTGGCTTTAAATTTTTTTCCCCTAAACTAATATTGTACAATCAATCAGCTGTGAAAGCAGGTCTCTGCCTAAATTTGTCCAGTTGATTTTGTCTGTCTCCAATATGCAGGGCTATGTTGCCGGTGGGGGGAGGGGGGGCAGTCTATTGCTCAATAAATATAATGTTTTTCTTGCTCAAGTGTTTTATTTCTACGAAGCTAAGACAATAACACTAAAGTATTCGTTTCTAAACAGTAATCCTGAGATAGTCAAATGCATAGGAAGCAGGAGTGACAGGAGCTGAGGAGCGTCATGCTGAGTGTCACTATCACAGCAATGCCAGTTGAAACTGACAGCTGAATGAG